TTAAAAAAAAAAAAAAAAAAAAAGGAACACCTGTTTTTATTGTGGAGTCCCAGGCCACAGAAAACTGTTTATCATTAAGATCTTGTCTTGCTCTTAATTATGGCCATGTACAAACACTCAGTTTCTACCAGGAGAATTGCTATTCTCTTACTAGAAACCAAGAATGTGCAGATGTTCAAGCTTTTTCTCCTGGAGCTAAAATAGCAACGGTAGGAGAAAAATAACTCAACAATAAGGTGGAAATTGCTTCTTGGAGACTGAATGTCCACACACTTTTCCATGACTTGCTTCCTCCTGGGGATCAGGAGAAATGGAGCACAGGGAAAGGCTCTCCCCTGCATTTCAGAGACAGGGGTCTGCAGGTTGTGTGGGGAGGCAGCTGCTTCTACCCTTCGCGTCGACCAAGGGATGAGGGGAGAAGCATCCACCAAGTGCTCTCCACCTGCTCTGGAGTTCCCAGTGTCATAAGCAAACAGGGGCTTTGCTGCACTACTCCCCCTTGGCAAGGGGAACCAAGCACACAATATGGCGTAGCCCCCTATTTACTTCTGAAACCAGAGTCCCTGCTGTTAGATGCAGGCAAGGGCTTTTTCCTGCTGCTCCAGTCACCCCTGGGAGTAGGAAGTTTCAAATAGCCAACTGCTTTCCCCAGACCAGGATCACCCTGATCTTGAAAAGGCACAAGGAGCAGGGGAGAGGGGGCAGTTTCAGGCTGAATGTCTGCATTGGTCCCTCTCTCAGAATCATTTTCAGAATCATTGGAAAGTGTCCACCACTAGAACTGAAGGTTTGTGCACAGCCTACATCACCATTAGCGAGTATTGCTATTATACTTACTATACTTCCAGCTTTTACGAAGCATCCAGCTACATAAATACATTTATTAAGGCTACTAAAGCTTAGCCAATTTTCTCATTTCAGGAGATATTCTGATATACCTGCCACAGTGGGACAGCACAAGAAAATAGAAAGCTACAAAATATATCATAAAGCTACCAAATATACTGCAAACACAAAGAGTTCTTACCTGTTCCAGGCCTCCAGTGTGACCAATGTTATTCAAGTGATTATTCATTAACTGCTTAGGATTGCTGGATGTATCCCGAGCAAACAATAGCCATGAGAACACAGGTACATTCTTTCCTTCTTTATTATCATTGTACAATTCAATGGCTGTATTCAGCATCAAAAATTTCACAGCTTCATAAAGGCAATATTCCTCCTCTTCGTTTTTAAACAATTCATTGCAAGCACCTTGCTTCTCCATGGGTGTCTTCATTTCACTTATACTCTTCCACTATAAAAAAATAATATACAAGTCACAAACAGGAAACCACCATTATCATTCATAACTGCAGAAAAAAGAATCACATCCTTCTCTCAGGCAGGTAGCCATACATTTTATGAAAGGCTCTCTTGTTCCCATGTTTATATGTGCATTTATTTTAAATGTTTCCATAGTTTTAGCTGCTGCTAGCATCAGCAGAGGGAGAAAAAAAAATTGGGGGGCTGCAAGCACCCATGCCCCCTCCAGTCTGCAAGGGAAGGGTTGGGGGGAAGGGCAAGGGTGTAAGGTTGGGGCTGGGACCAGGTGGGGACCAGGGCCAGGGCCCACTCACTGCACGTGTGCAGCCGCCCTTTCCCCTGTGCCAGGGGTCAATGTCCGGCACCGGTGTCCACTGCCCCCCAGCCCCGCACCCTTCCTGGCTGCCTCTCCACACCAGCCCAGCCCTCAAGTGGGGCCAGCCTCAACTGCCCCCATTCACCAAGAATGGGGCCCTGGCTGGGCCAGGTTGTGGGGCTATCAGAGGCCAGCGGCTCATCCAGGCATATGGCACTGGAGAGCATGGGGGAGAGGAACATGCCTCCCCCTCACCCTCAGCGCACGCAGCAGTGGGAGCTGCCTGCCCACGCCCCTGGACAAGCCATCAGGCTCCCACTGCCCCACTATCTGGCCTGGCTGGGGCCCCAATTCCCCATGAATGGAGCTCCAGCCGGGCTGTCATGGGACAACCCCCACAGTGCAGCAGGGAGTGGGACAGGGGTGAATGATTCGCCCCTGCCCCTACTCCATTCCCTCCTGCACGGTGAAGGGTCTCGATCTGCCTCCCCCAAACCCAGGCAGTGAAAAGAAACTTACCAGCTTGCTGGGTCAGCTGTGATCCTGGCACACCCCCTCCCCCTACTGCGGCCAGGCTGCCCTGGAGTTTGAGCCCCATTAGTCCCTGCCCCCTTCTGCCAGCTATGGCTGCTAGTGTCAAGTTGATCAGACTCATTTTTCAAACAAATACTAAAGCATTTTGCAGTGACAATCAAGACATGAAGACAATCAAGAAATGACGACACCCAATTTTCTACAAGCAGAAAAATATGGAGAAAGAAGGAAAAACAGGAAAGGGAGGAGAGTTAAAGGGGAAAGACACTGCACAGGAAACAGTGGCTGCAATATCAATGATTTCACTGGCTGCAATATCAATGATTTTTGTGTTCACTGCAGCCAAAATTCCTAAAATGCTGTAGTTATTTTGCTAACTTTTTTTATTTTGCTCTTTCTAATTAAAGTCCTATAAAACAGTCAAGCTTTAGCTTTTAAAAGAAGCAAATTTGTGCCTAATTAAAATGTTTAAAATAAGTTTTTTCATGGAAGTGAATTTATACAAAAATTGGACAATTAAAAACACTGTATTAGTAGCTTTTACAGTACAATACTAAAAAAAGATAAAGTGCTATCTTTAAAAAAAGAAAAGAAAAGAAAAAAGTACCCCTGGCAGCTGGGCCCCCCCTCCAGCAGGGCTGGGGGAACAGCGCTGTGGGTAGGGAGTGAAGGTCACCAGTAGGGCCCGGGGGGGAAGAGAAGGGGGG